ACCTAATCTAGTCAAGTCAAGCAGAAGTGGGAGAACCACACCACCCCCCGGGGCAGGGAGGAGGCCTTCCACCACACCCAAGGGAGTAAAGGGCAGTGGTGTGGGTGGGACTGAGCAGAACCCACCCTTCTATCCCCCTTCGTGGCAGAAGCAGCAGGGCTCTGATTACCTGGGGGGTGCGGGCAGCCTGGGCGGGGAGCTGGCCTGGGGGAAGCAGGTGGCACTCTCATTCTCCCCCAGATAGCGCGGTGGCAATAGCAATGCTGAGCCTCCAAGCCCAGCTGGCAGCGATGAGGCTTCTGGAGGGGACGCAAGGTGGGACTCGTCACCATTCCACATAGCCCCTGCCCCTCACGTTATCAGGGCCCAGTGGAGAGCTAAACCCTCTACCCCACCCGGTGGCAATAAGAGAAGCAGGTTATGCAAAGCTGGACACTGACTCTGCTTCTCCTGTCTCCTAACTGGCTGTCCTCGAGCCCACTGGGGAGCTAACTCAGAGACGACAACTTCATGCACGTCTGTGCCTCATTTTACCAAAGCGGGAGCTGAACTCCTCCCCTCCCCCAGGGTGATCCCTGGCTGCAGGAATGGTGTCAGCAGACCTAGTGGGGAAACTGAGAATACCTCCCACCTGGCCCACCCTTGTGCTGCAGGGGATGGCCCCTAATAAAGAAGCTTAATTAGGACCCGGTGTTGCATAATATCCCAAAGGCCCAGAATACAATCGAAAACCCTTTCTCACGCCAAGAACCAGGGATCTCAAATTGAATGAAAAGACAATACAGAGATGAATCAGAGGTCAGAATGATCTGACTTCTCATGCTAAAGCAGTCATCAGAAGAATGTTTGGAAACGAATGGAAAAGGGAAAATCTCAGCAAAGAAACACAAGCTATATTTTAAAAAATGGAAGATATAGAACTAAAAAACACAATGGTCTAAATAAAAAAACCTCACTGGACCGGCTTAATAGTAGAGCGATGATGGCTGATCAGTGAAATCCACCGAATCCGAACAACAGAGAAAGCAGACAGGAAAAAAATGCAGAGTTTCAGGAACCTGCACGCTGACGACGAAAAGAGCCGATCCTTCTGTTATCGGAGCCCTGGGAGGGGAGGAGTCAGAGTAGGACTGAAAAAGTACTCTGGAAATAAGGCTGGAAACTCCCCAAATTTGGTGAAAGTTGGACATCTATAGACTCAGGAGACTGAACAAAACCCCAACAGGATAAACCAAAGAAATGCATGTCGGGACACATCATAACTAAATTTCTGAAAACTGAAGGCAAAGGAAAACTTTTGAAAGTGGCCAGAGAGAAGAGAAGTAAGACTCACAGAGGATCAATCTGAATGGCCGTGGATTTCTCGTTTGAAATCGCGGAGGAGGCGGGGCACCTGGGTGGCTCAGTCGGTTAAGCGTCCGACTTCGGTTCAGGTCATGATCTCACGATTTGTGAGTTCTAGCCCCGCATTGGGCTCTGTGCTGACAGCCCAGAGCCTGGAGCCTGCTTCAGATTCTGTGCCTCTCTCTCTCTCTCTCTCTCTCTCTCTCTCTCTCTCTGCCCCTCCCCCACTCACACTGTCTCTCTCTCTCCTTCAAAAATAAATACACGTTAAAAAAATTTTGAAATCGTGGAGGAGGGAAGGAAGTGACAGAACATTTCTGAATGCTGCAAGAAAAGAACTGTCAATAGCAAATTCTATACCCCTCAAAAATATCCTTTGGGAATTGTGAGAAATTAGATACTCCTAAGTGAAGAAAAACTAAGAATTTGTAACCTGCCCTTAAAGAACAGCAAAAGAAAGTTCTCTAAACAAAAAGGAAATGATAACAGAAGTGTGGAACTTCAGATAAGAAAAAAGAACATCCAAATGGATAAAAATAGGGACAAAATAATAGGCTGTCCTTTTCATGAGTTTCTTTTTTTCATTTTTTTAATGTTTATTTATTTGAGAGAGCAAGACCAAGTGGGGGAGGGACAGAGAAAGAAGGGAAGAGAGAGAATCCCAAGCAAGCTCTGCCCTGTCCATGCAAAGCCTGATGTGGGGCTGGAACTTAGAAACCATGAGATCATGACTTGAGCTGAGTCAGGAGTCAGACGCTTAACCGACTGAGCTATGGAGGCACCCCTATCATGAGTTTCTTGAATCATATTTGGTGTCTGAAACGACAATTATAACACCAGGTAATGTGGCGCTCAATACTGAAGACAAGTAAATTTTTTAATTGAGGAGGGCTAAGGGACTGCTTACACTTTACTTGAAGTGGAAAAACATCAATTCAAGGAGACTGTTAAGTTACAGATGGATTGCATAATACCTACAGCAACCCCGAGCGAAACCATACAAAGCAATCTGTTGAAAAAAAAAAAAAAAAACAGGATAAAATAAATCAAAACGGAATTTTGAAAAAATGTTCAAGTAACTCACAGAAAGGAAAGAAAAGGGAAACAGAAGATTGAGAAACAGAGGGAACAAATGAAAAACAAACTGGCTAAGAAACTCTGACATCAATAACTGTCTTAAATACAAATGATCTAAATATACCAATTAAAAGCCTAGATTTACAGAGTAGATTTTAAAAATGTGCCAATAATATGCTATCTACAAGCACCTTACTTCAATGAAACATAGGTTGATTGATAGTAAAAAGATAGAAAAGGATAGATTTGCAAATATTAATCAAAAAAGCAGCTCCTGGCTGGCTCAGTGGGTAGAGCCTGTGACTCTTGATCTCGGGGTCATGAGTTTAAGCCCCACTTTGGGCATGGAGCCTACTTAAAAAAGAAAAGCAGGTGTGGATCTATCAATATTAGATAAAATAGACCAGAGAAAATTACTAGAGACAAACAGAGAGACATTACCTCATGATAAAAAGCTCAGTGCACCAGCAAGACATAATGATTCCAAATACAATCACATCAAAAAAGAGCCTCAAAACACACGAAGCAAAAGCTGATAGAGTTAAAGTAGAAACTGACAAACCCATAAGTACAGTTGGGGTCTTCAACCCCCATCCTTAGCAATTGACAGAACTACTAGCCAAAAACTCAGCGAGGACACAGAACTGAATAATACAATCACCCAACAAGATCTAACTGATGTGGATGTAAAGAACACCGTACCCGAAAAGAGCAAATACGCATTTTTTTTAAGTGTGCATGGAGCAGTCACCAGAGACGGACCGTATCCTGGATCCTGAAACAAACCTCAAAAAAAAAAAAAAAA